CCAACAGAGCATGTCTTTTAATTTCCAAGCACATATTTCTGAAGCCTTGAATAAGTTGGGGAATTGCCATTTTCTCCAACATTACCATCCAGACACTTATATATGTTTTCAAAAGTGAAACCATGAGGTAAATCTAATGAACCTCTAAAGCATTATGACAGGTAAAATAATCCTGACACAAAAGAAAACATATTATATGATTCCATTTATATGAAAAGCCCAAGAAAGGCAAATCTATGGAGACAGTAGATTAGCAGGTCATGGGGCTGGGAGTGGGATAGGCACATACTGTAAATGGGCATAAAAGATCGTATTGGGAGATGGAAATGTACTAAAACAGGATTGCGGGCAATGGTTATACAACTCAGTTGCCAAAAATCATTAAATTTTAAACAGGCGAATTTTACTGCATGTAATTATATCTCAATAAAGTTGACTTTAAAAAAAGAAACATAGGTAGGTCACAAGCATTTTTGTTTCTTTGAGATGGAGTTTCATTCTGTTGCCCAGGCTGGAGTGCAGTGGTGCAATCTCGGTTCACTGCAAGCTCCACCTCTCACATTCAAGCGATTCTCCTGCCTCAGCCTCACAAGTAGCTGAGACTACAGGTGTGTGCCACCACACCTGGCTAATTTTTGTATTTTTGGGAGAGACAGGGTTTCACCATGTTGGCCAGGCTAGTCTCAAACTCCTGACCTCAGGTAATCCGCCTGCCTCAGCCTCCCAAAGTGCTGGGATTACCGGCGTGATCCACAATGCCAGGCAGGTCACAAGCATTTTAAAATCATTTATTAGTCATGTAAAACATTTTATATTTAAAATGAACTTGCATCAACTTGAGATTTCACAGTAGTGATATACACTTTTCAAATAACTTTCTAAGTTAAAAAGATGAGTTAAACCATTGCTTTAATTAAATTATTTTAATTTACATAATTAATTTAAATAAGTTATTATACAAACCAGAAGTTTTGGTGAATGCTAGTTATGTTATTGATTCCCAAATGATAAAATCCCAGCTCTGTGTGTGTGTGTGTGTGTGTGTGTATTTTAACTTCAAGATCAATAATAAATATTAAATGGGATTATGCTGATTAAAATGCTTTGTAAATTGCCAGTGCTGTACTAACAAAAGAAAACGAATGACTTAACTAAGCTGCCTTCTACTTTAATACAAAAGAAATTCTTACAAGTTTATGACAGACAAGAGACTCTCCAGGTGTGGCAGGAATTGATTTAACCAGTAATGCTGCCTCCCTTTTCTAGGGTTTCAATTTCTTCCTTCAACAAACATTACTGAATGCTTATCATGAATCCACCAGGTGCAGGTCCATGTTCTGGATCTCAAGAGATGCACAGTTGTCTTATTCCTTCTCTTCCTCCAAGCTAAGACGCTTTACCATGAAACCTCTACTGGACTGAGGTGCAGCAGCCCCAAGCCCTTTTCTGGTTGCACTTGACACAGCTGAAAAGGGTTGGCATTTTTCAAACTTTCCCAAATATTGAGGGAGGAAAAAACCCCCACAAGAGTACAGTCAAGTTATTAAAGTGACAGAATTACAAAACAGAAGATTGGGGTTGGGAAAGAAAAAAGAAATGCTCCCCGGTTCCTACCTAGATTTGAGTTCCTAAAATCCTGCCTCTTGCACACCCCTTTTTCTTTCTAAGGAAGCTAGTATCTCCCACCTTCTCAAGAAAACAGTGAGTGCTCGATTAGATTTAAATCCCATCCCCAAAGAAAGGAAGCAGTCTTCTAAGTTCTCAGCCCCATGAAAACCACCAAGCACTTTCTCTACCAATCCCCATATTTTCAAGACTAGTTTTCTCCTGCAGTGTTGTCGCAGGAGAAAAGGGTCTGGAGGCAGGAAACCTAAGGCCGATTCACACTGATTTCCTAGAACTGAATCAAAAAGAAAACCCCAACTTTCCACACCTAAGTAACAAAAGAACCAGACACTACTCCCTTTGCAACCCCCCCCCCCCCCCACCACCCCCCCACCACCCCCTCCCACATACAATGCCCCCCAATACCCCCCTCTCAACACCCCTCCCCCCAACACACACACACTTTTTCTGTGTGGCAGATGGGAAATTGAAAGTATCTCTGATTGGTTGCAGAAAGCAACCAATCAGACATTTGCATAGGAGTGTAACTTTGTAACTTCTCTTTAGCCTCTGATTGGTTGCTTTCCACAACCAATCAGACTGATTGTGGAGTCACTACTTCATTTACATAGGGTGTACACCAGGTAACCGATGGGAAACCTCTAGAGGGTATTTAAACCCCAGAAAATTCTGTAAAGGGAGTCTTGAGCTCCTCTGCTCTGGTCGCTGCCGCTCTGTGGCGTGTACTTTCGTTTTCAATAAATCTGCCTTTGTTGCTTCATTCGTTTCTTGCTTTGTGCGTTTTGTCCGGTTCTTTGTTCAAAACATCAAGAACCTGAACACCCTCCACCAGTGTTATTGTTGTTAGTAGTAGTGGTATTACTATTTTGACGTTAATTTGGCTAATAAATCTAGGGATATTTTGCATTATCTAGATGTTCTGCCAAGTTTTCTATACGTAGCTATCAGCCAAATTTGCAAAGGCCATGAAAAAAAAAAATGATCAGAGTATGACCCATATCGTCGTGCCTCTCATGCACACATTGGTCTCACGTAATTTCATCTCCTGCCAATTCTAAAAGGGTATGCAAGGCAAGATACTATAACCTATATAAACCTACATACCCTGTATCAAAACGACGTGCCTAAGAAGATAACATGCTAGTTGATGACAGAGCCTGAAGAGACACCTGTTCTGGATGACCTAAGTGAATTTCTCTTTTTATTTTGAATTCCTTAGAAAGAATCACCCTTGGGGCACGTAAGAACCGGCACAAATGGGAGTGCCTGAAGCCGGGTGGGGTACTGGGGCCGGGGGGTGGCGGTGAGAAGGTGAGAGGAAGGGGTGGTTAGACTTTTAGGGATGCAGGCTTTGGCACCACTACGAAGCCAGGGTTTTCTTCGTGTTTTAACTCTGTCAGATTGAGAGTAGCTCTGTTGTAGCCCCTTTGCAGGGTTCCCATGAGACTCTTCCTAGGCAGTTAGGTTGACTCGCTTAGCAACATAGCAAATTACAGAAACGGAGTAAGAACGTAAGAAATCTCAAAGCGCGTGGCGTATGGGATCTCACTGTTCTTGGCCCTTCTCCCGACCCGTAGCCCCGCTCTGTTACGACTGCGTGGGTGAGTCGTCTATAAAAACTCATCTCTGCGCGTCTCTTCGCCACACTCGCTTCCTGTTTTCGGCGGATCTGTTGTGGCTTGTTGCGGGCACCGCAGTGGCCCTGAAGATGGCGTCTACCAGCCGGTTAGTATGTCCGGCCGAGCCCGGCGAGCTGAGGGGCGGGCGCGAGCGCCGCGGGCTTTCAGGCGGCCTCCGGGCAGCCTAGTCGGACTAAGCACCTAGGGGTGTGGGAGAGAAGCGGCGGGACTGGCCGACCGGCCGGGACAAAGGCACTTCCAGACGGCAGAACTGTCAGGGTGTCGGAGGGGTTACCCAGCTGTTGACGTTATTGCTTCGGAGTCTTATGTCGTCTTCTCATGTAGACATCACCCTTTGTGGGTCCTGGTGGGCTTCTGTGACCCCAGCCCTTGTCCTCGTCTTTTCCGAATATTTCAACCTCCTTTTATTTTCTTCTCCTTCTACCTCCGCCCCTCCCCCAGCTTGTTGTTTTCGTCTATGGCCCAAACAACCCGAGGGTCCGTAATTTCTCCTTTTTCAAAGGAACGAGAAATAGTTGGTTCCTGGTCCCTATCGATCTGACAGCTAGGAAGTTGGGAACGTCAGCATTGGTAAGCCAGATGGAACCAGGTTACCATCACAGCGGGCCTCGAAAGTGGAAGTTAGAGCCATCGGAAGAGTTGATTAGTTCCATGCTAAAGGATTTGTTTACAAATATCGTTGCCTATGTCCTTCTGAAGAAAATCTTGCATAAGAAATTTAGTTATGTGTGCTGGGAAGTTGCTCTTCAGTATATATTTAAAAATGCAATGTACTCATATCTACAGGAAATGCATGCAGTACCCTCAGAGACAGCCTTTAATTTTGTGACCTGAAAAATGCTTGCAGACCCTAATTATATCTCTCATTACCACTATGAGGTAGATATTAGTATTTTTGCGTAAGTGTAAACTGAGTCATGCCAATGTTGACTTTTCCAAGGATAGTGTTAGAGTGTAGAGTCTAAGATAACCTGTTTCTTGTTATCCACACCTGGCCTTTGGTTAACTAATGCTGTGTTAAAAGTATCAAATTAATTCTACAGGTTCTGGAACTCTGGCACCATTTTTCTGACCCTATCAGCTGTGGAATTGGTTAATTTCACAGTGAAAGCCATTTTTACAAAATAGCCTTTAATGGTAACTGCCAAGACTTACATTTTATGGTTAGAAAAAAAGAATTTGGGGTGGGAGGTGCTTTAGCTAATGTACTGTTTGAGCAGGACTCATAAAGCCAGTGACACGCTTGTTTACTGATTCTGATTCTTGGATTGGATGCTCAGTCATTCTATCTGGGTGGTGGTCTGTCAGGTGAGGCCTCCTTGTAGGTAAATGGAAAACTTCGGCTCCCCAAATCACTCAAATACGACTTAAATTCTGTCATGGCTTTTTAAGTCTGAATTTTTTTCTAGATATGTGCAATTTATGTATCATGGCAGTTATTGCTCAAGTTTTTCTATCAGTGACAAAGTTAAATGTAGAATTTTTTATTTTTTGGAACAGACCTGGGCTGAAGTGCAAGTGGCACAATCATGGCTCACTGCAGCCATGACCTCCCCAGTTCAAGTGATCCTCCCACCTCAGCCTCCTGAGTAGCTGGGACCATAGGTGCACACTGATTTTTTTAGTGTGCCTGGCTAATTTTTTTATTTTTTAATTTTATTACTTTTTATTTTTGTAGAGACAAGGCCTAGTTACATTGCCCAGGCTGGGCCCGAACTCCTGGGCCCAAACAGTCCTCCGACTTTGGCCTGCCAAAGTGCTGTGGTAACAGGCATGAGCCACTATGCCCAGCCTAAATGTATTATTTCTATCTTTTGCATGTTTTTCCCTCAGGAAGATGTATTGTTACTAGGCCGTGAAACTGGCTGGTGACCTCACAGAAGAATACAAATATTTTGAGTTCAAATGTAAGCTTCGCCACTTACTAGTTCCATGACTTCAGGCAAATCATTCTGTGAGCATAATCTTTTAAAATGGGAAATAGGCCTTTCTTGCAGGATTGCTGTGGAGATTGACAATAATAAATGTGTAACACCAGCAATACAGTGCATACCCAATAAATGATAGTTCTAAAATGGGGTTTGGGATTATCTGGTACTTTAGATGTTTTAATGTCAGTGGTGGTTGTTTCCCTATTCCTCCCCATTGTTTCTCTCTGTTACCACCTGCGCCACCCCATTTGTATGGTTCCTCTTTTGTATTGTGGGTAATTTGGTTAAAAGTTTACTAATTTAGCTTACTTTTATTTTGATAGGTAACACATACAAATGGTCCAAAAGCAAAATTGCAATAGACTAAAACCATGAAAAGTAGTCTCTCAAGTCTCCCCAGATCAGCCATAGTTACTAGTCTTTTGGTGTTTTCCTCGTGCTTATGATTTAACAAATGTATACAAATAGTTCTAACCTCTCTTCTCCCCAAAAGTGACCTAATTTAAACTCCATTCACTACCTTGCTTTTACCTTTTTTTAATGACGTTAGCACGCAGATTTTAAAAGTGGGCAGCTCAGTCACAAAGTGAGCACATACATAGCTACTACCCAGGTAAGGAAATCAGATACCACTAGCACTAGCTAAGACACTAGCAAAGTCTGTGTCCTCAGTCATTCCCCCTCCCTTGAGAAAACCACATCCTGATTTCTAACACCATCAATTTGTTTTGCCTGCTTTGAAGTTGGCATAAATGGCATATGTATTCTGCTGTCTAGCTTCTGTCAGTATTTTGAGGCTCATCCATGTTACAGTGTATGGCTAGTTCATACTTTTCAGCTTTGTATAGATTTTCTACCTTACTCCTCACTCTTCATATCTTTCAGATGTTTCTGTATCATTACATGAACTAGAGTTTTCTGTCTACTTTTTAATAGTGCAGAGTGTTAGTTCTTAGTACTGTGTTTAACATGGCCTCCTCTTTTACTAATTTGTAATTAGTGTTACTCTGCTAACATTTTCCTTTATTTCAACATAGTTTTTCGTAATTGATAACAACTGTTTAATTTTATTTGTCATAATTTATTAAAATACTTTCCTTAGAGGAATTTATGGAGTAATCACAAATATGAAGTAATACTTACCCCTGCGTTTTCCCAGTGAGAAGATTCAAGACATGTTCTGGTTAAGCTGACTAGATAAATTTGGAGGGGAATAGGGATTATTTTATCAGTTTTCCTGTAGATATCATCATCTAAGTTGAGAGTTAACCTTCTGAATTGTATTTGCTAACATGATAAACTTTACCCCAAACCACAAATAACTATTTACATACTATAAGAACAGTTGATTTTTGTCTTTTATGTGCATCTGATGTCCATAACCTGACCATTTATTGTATTATTTCAAACGATTTTTAAAAGTGCCTTATTTGCAGTGCTACCAAGCATTTATGATTGGGAGGTCATACCCCCTGAAATAATGATCAAATATTTGTTGTTTTTACAGCTGATTCTGTCAGATCATTTATGATTAATGTGTAAAAAAAAGATGGACGTGTCTTCTGCAAACTGCTTTGTTGTTCAAAATAAGATAAATTGAGCTAATTATTAATATCACAGATAAATTTACAAGTAGCTTTTGAAACAATTCCTTGAATGATAAAAAATTCAGTAACTCAATTCTGGACTAAAGGAAATCATCAAGTCTTAAGTTCAGCAGAGCCACTTCTACCATCCCTCATTTCTATACTTACTGGGTTCAGTGTACTATTTAAATCTGTTACTAAAGTAGTTAACAAGTAGAAAAATACAGAGAGAAATTGTTCTCTGACTAGACAAATAAGTGGCAAAGAGCACAAACTGGATGGTAATGTAAATGCTGCAGGTTATTATGGTAGCTAGTCATTACAACACTAATCAGCATTTAAAAAAATCTTGGTGGACTACATATTAAGAGAAGAAACTAATTATTTTCTATTTATGTTTTGAAAGCCTTCCACAGTAAAATAAGAATTCCAGTGGAAACTACTTGCCAGTTACTAGCTAGAATTTAAAGTAACCTAACTGGGATGTTTACCTTGAAAATCTAGCTCACACGTGTTATAATCGTATGTATTGAAGAATGTTCACAATCTTTGTCTTCCCCATCCCCCGTCCCAGGAGATTACTGTGATACATGTTGGTTGGGAAGATGTAAAAATACAACTTTTTTCTTTTAGTTTGGATGCTCTTCCAAGAGTCACATGTCCAAACCATCCAGATGCAATTTTAGTGGAGGACTACAGAGCCGGTGATATGATCTGTCCTGAATGTGGCTTGGTTGTAGGTGAGTTGTTATTATGGTTTTAATTTAAATTACTGTTTAGGAGGCCAAGCACCACGGCTCATGCCTGTAATTCCAGCACTTTGGGAGGCCGAGGCGGGAGGATCACCTGAGGTCAGGAGTTTGAGACCAGCCTGACCAACATGGAGAAACCACATCTCTACTGAAAATACAAAAACTAGCTAGGCATGGTGGTGGGTGCCTGTAATCCCAACTACTTGGGAGGCTGAGGCAAGAGAATGGCTTGAACCCGGGAGGCGGAGGTTGCAGTGAGCCAAGATCGCATTGCACTCCAGCTGGGGCAACAGAGCGAGACTCCATCTCAAAAAAAACAAAAAACAAAAAACTTGTTTAGAGTTCTTCACTTTTGCATAGTTTCCAAACTGTCATTTAATGAACACATTTTGACTTTCTTCCCCAACAAATAATTTGTTTGTTGCCAAAAAAAAAAAAAAATTAGGAAACAGAAACGAGTAAAGTTATTTAGAAACATATTTTATTGTATATCCAAATTTATGTTTTTATAATGTTGGGTGGGAGCTAATCCAGAAGAAATGAAAAGGCCACAGTAATTTCCTAAGTCGTTCGTCTGAAATACTTGGTGGAGGACTGGGGAGATGGGCTGACACTCATGCATATTAAATAATCAAACTTTTGTGACTTTTTATATGTTGAGAAGTAGATAAACATGATTTTTGAGTCTCACCGAAAGCCTTTTAGTCCAAAAAAAAAAAAGATTTATTATAACTTTTATATGGAATCATTTATTGATGAATGTCTAGTATAAAATTACTGTCAAAAATACCACCTAAAATTTCACCTTGTTCCTACTTGTGCACTAATCTAGATATGCAGCAGAACTTTAGACTGTAGATAGTCTGCTCAAAAACTATTCTTGTGGTGGAGTTGCAGCATCTGAGAATCGGGGTAATATTTAGCAGTTTGAATTACTTAAGAATGAAAACTCTAGAAGGATTGTGGGCAGTATAACAGAAGCATTAGTAGTGGCATACTGTGGAATTGTCTTACTTGGTCAAAGAAGGCTGCTTGCCTCAGACCTACAGTGGGAGTTTTAAAGTATAGAGTTGCTAATAGGGATTGAGAATCATTTGTTACTGTATGCTGCTGAGTAAGGAATAGCCAATATATTTACTATATACTAGGTACTATTCTAAATGATTTACATATTCACTCAGTTTATCCTCACAACAAACTTGTGAGGTGAGTACTAACATTATCTTCACTTTACAGATGAGGAAACTGATGTTTAGGTAGTCTAGAAGATTGACTCCATTGTCTGCATGGGAGGCAGATTTCTATCTTGTATTGCCTTTCATAATAATAAAATTTTAATCTGGGGTCATCAAAGTACAACCCATCACCTGTCTTTATATGGCCTATTTGCTAATATGGCTTTTACATTTTTAAATGGTTGAAAAAAATCATTATTTTGGGACATGTGAAAATACAAATTTCAGTATCTATAAAGTTTTTCTTCGTTTGTTTTTTGAGATGGAGTTTTGTTCTTGTTGCCCAGGCTGGAGTGCAATGGCGCAATCTTGGTTCACTACAACCTCTGCCTCCCGGGTTCAAGTGGTTCTCCTGCCTCAGCCTCCCAGGTAGCTGGGATTACAGGCATGTGCCACCGTGCCCAGCAAATTTTGTATTTTTTTTTTTAGTAGAGACAGGGGTTCTCCATGTTGGTCAGGCTGGTCTTGAACTTCTGACTTCAGGTGATCCGATCACCTCGGCTTCCCAAAGTGCTGGGGTTACAGGCGTGAGCCATTTCACCTGGCCAAAGTTTTTTTTTTTGATATGGTGTTTCGCTGTTGTTGCCCTCTTGTTGCCCAGGCTGGAGTGCAGTGGTGCAATCTCAGCTCACCGCAGCCTCTGCCTTCCAAGTTCAAGTGATTCTCCTGCCTCAGCCTCCTGAATAGCTGGGATTACAGGCGCCCACTACTATACCCGGCTGACTTTTTGTATTTTTAGCAGAGACGGTTTCAGCATGTTGGCCAGGCTAGTCTTGAACTCCTGACCTCAGGTGATCCACCGGCCTCGGCCTTCCAAAGTGCAGGGATTACAGGTGTAAGCCACCATGCCTGGCCTGTTACCTATAAAGTTTTATTGGAATATAGCAACACTCAGTTGTTTACATAGTGTATATGGCTCTTTTCATATTACAACAGCAGAGCTTAGTAGCTGCAACAGAAACCATATGTGCAGCTCTCATCACTTGTTCTGCTGCTCAGCATACTGATTGCAGTGATGCAGTTATAACTCAGCAACATGTTGATCGCCACATATGTTGCCATACTGCACTGTTTTATTTATTTATTTTTATTACCATTACATATCCATCACACCAGAAAAAGAAAAATTAACTTTGAATGTCATGCTTTTAAGGCCTGGTGGAGTGTGGATTATTTTGCTTCTGAATTAGATGGCAAAACAGTTGTGTTTATTACACAATGATACTATAGCTGTGTTAAAAGAATACAGTAAGCGTGGACATTACCATACTGAGCACTCATTAGAATATTTCTAACTCAGGAAAACAGTGGTCAGAAGATAATGTAAAATAGAATATCTTAACATAATTTTTTCACAAAAATAAAAGAATGAAACTGCGGCTGCAACTGAAGTTTCTAAGTGGCTTATTTCTTGGCCGAGCAAAGAAAGTCATTTACCAATGATAATTAATTCATATTTGATTGCAAGAGCTGAATATATGTGTCCAGAGAAAATAAATTTATTTAAGACTGTTAGCATCTCACCAAGAACAGTTGCTTGAAGAGTTGAGGACAGTGGAGCAACATCAGTAGTCAGTTAAAAGTCAAGGCAAATTATCTCAGGTATTTTTCTTTGGCTCTTGATGACTAGATTGATGTTATTGGTACTTTTCAGTTGTTTATTCAAGAAATCAGTGCTGGGCCAGGCGCAGTAGATTACATCTGTAATCCCAACACTTTCAGAGGCTCAGGGGGCTGGATCATGAGGTCAGGAGTTCAAAACCAGCCTGGCCAAGGTGGTGAAACTCTGTCTCTACTAAAAATACAAAAATTAGCCTGGCATGGTGGTGGGCGTCTGTAATCCCAGCTACTGGGGAGGCTAAGGCAGAGAATTACTTGAACCCGGGAGGCGGACTTTGCATTGAGCCGATATTGTACCACTGCACTCCAGCCTGGGTGATAGAGTGAGTCTCTGTCTTTAAAAAAAAAAAAAAGTCAGTGCTGAGCTTGTCAGAAGAACTAGCTCCAATGGGTTGTCTACGTGGAGCAGCTATAGGAGAAAATAGCTTCAAAGCAGTTGCGAAAGTGTTAATTCAGTATAACCTGAAGTGGACTCTGCTAAAATTTATTATAACTGATAAGGGTAAAAATATATGTGGAGCAGAAGACTTAGTGGGACAGATTTGCCAAGATTGAAAATGTAAGGTGTTTAAACAGCCTGTTTATTATATTATTCATCAGCAGTACTTTGTTGGAGAAGACTTTAATCTGCCTGGTGTTACTGAACCAGTAATTGTGAACAATGAACTTCATTCACTCTTGTGGACGTAACTATCAATATCAGTTCTGTGACTTTTTTTTTTTTGAGACAGATTCTCACTCTTTTTCAGGCTGGAGTGCAGTGGTGCGATCATGACTCACTTCAGCCTCAACTCCTGGGCTCAAGCAGGACCTTGGCTAATTTTTTTGGGTTTTTTTTGGTAGAGATAGGGTCTCACAGTGTTGCCCAGGCTCGTCTTGAACCCTGGCCTCAAGTGATCCTCTTGTCTTGGCCTCCCAAAGTGCTGGGATTATAGGTGTGAGCTATCATGCTCGGCCAGTTTTGTGACATTTTTTGTTAGAAATAAAAGCTGAATATTTCTAACAAAATATTGTTAGGGTGACTTGTCTTAATGACACACTAATTTGGTGATTTAGCAGTAGTAAAGTTTTGTTGTGATTTTTCTGAACTCAGGGGCCAAGAGTAAGATTTTTCTGAATCAGTACTGCCTTCAGCTACTGCTATCGGACACTGGATGGTTTTGAAAATTAGCTTTTGCTACAAACTTGCTAATACTTCTTAATGAATTCATCATAGAGTTACAAGGCAAAATACTGCTTTTCTGTGAAACATAAACTGCGGTAAAGTCAATTTCACAAGTTAACATTTGAATCATAAGTAATGTCAAATTGCTTTTATATACTTTATATACTTCCAGTGCTGTCAGAAGTTAAAATAGGATATTCATTACCACATAGATTTGCAGCAGATATATTTTCCAGGCTTAAGCTATATTTTCAGCAGTGTTTTTCAGACCTGAATGCAAATGCAAAGGAAATTTTCATATTTCAAAATTTGTTTTCATTGCACAGTTAAGGGGGTTCCATCTAACCTTCAAATGGTAGTGACTAATCTGCAGGGTAACAGTATGTAGGCCATTATCAGGAGAAGAATGTGATACAATTCTATAAATGCCTTCCAAGCAGTAAATATGCTCAATTAAAATCATACGCTTGTGGATTAATATTGGTATTTGGCAGTACTTATCTATGTGAAAAGAAAGTGAAATATATAAAATCTTGTCAGTACAACATCATTGACACATGAACATTTGTCATTCATTTTGATCATAGAGAACATTAACTTTGAACTCCAGTTAAGTGAAATGTTATCCCCAAAAAAGAGAATTTTATTCTTCTCATTAGTAGACATGTGTTACAGTAAATTACCTAATTATTATATTTTAAATTTCAACAATAAAAAATAGTGGATTTTTTTCTTATTTTATATAAATACCTACTTAATATCCTTAATTTTGCCTCTTGACCCACAAAGCCTAAAATATTTACTGTGTCACCCTTTACAGAAAATGTTTGCTTAACCCTTCAGTTAAATGAGAGCCTTCCAGTTCTTCCACAATGTTAAGATCAGACTGATAATGTGTACGAGTGAGACAGACAAAACTGAAGATAATTTCAGCTTCTTAGCTCTCCTAACCTCTGTAGCTTTTTTTT